ATTTTATTGTATTTGATAAAAAAAATATACCAAGAGGATGTCGGAAGCGTGAAAATCACAATTATTTCTATATATTACTTGAAATTATTTTAGTAAAAACATACATTATATTCACACAAAACTTCCATTACAATTTTATAATAAAACACTGCACCAAGGCACTAATAAAGCACTAGAAAAATTCAAAAATCAACACAATAACATTCACCGAAAATGGCGTAAGAAATGAATATAGATTATAAATAAATATCCATAGAATAATTTTTATTTCACTAGAGGATAGAATGTTTCATATTGATTCTATAATACTAAACTGTTTTTTAGAAAAGTACTCTCTAAACATAAGTATTTATGGGTTAAAATGCTGTATTGTGGATGCGATCACATTTGACCTCTTGAATTTTGACGGAATATCGCCGCGGTCATATTTGGACGCCTGGTAGCTAAGAGGTTAATTCTGCTGCTTAAATACAAAGGCACAGCACACACTTTTAATTATTTTAGAACATTTTTTTACATATTCTCTAAATTGTACACTTGAATTTCATTATGAACTTCGATTGAATAACATTTGTCTGCTTTTATAAACTCCTACTATCGAATCTTCAAGGAGAATGTCTTACAAGTAAAATTATCATCAATAATAGATGATAAAACACACACACGATGGTCAGCAAGTGTAAGATACCCGGTACTGTGTGCCTGCCAGGTGCAAAGATTAAAAGAAATCCTCCCTACAACGCAACATTCAATGTTCAGTAGTAGCGTCTTATTGTAAGTGACGAGAACTGGAGACAATTTTTATATATAACACTTTAAAATTGGTTCTTAATCGTTGATAAATATTGATGTCAATAGGCCCAAACATGCCCATACTTTCATTAACGATCAAAACTGTAGTATTTTAAGGCCTGCAGCACAAAGGGGTCGGATTCACCGTAAAATACTAACTTATCACAGATTACCAGCGTATACTGATAGCGAGGCTTTCTATCTTAGTTCTCAAGGGTGTCATCGCTTCTGTATTTTGTAGCGTATGTTTCTATCATCATCATCATCATCACAGCCCTTCACAAGTCCACTGCTGAACATAGGCCTCCCCCAAGTAATGCCACAAAGCACGGTCCTGAGCCACCTGCATCCATCGACTTCCTGCATATCTTACCAGGTCGTCACTCCATCTAGTGGGGGGTCGCCCTACACTACGCCTACCGGTACGAGGCTGCCACTCGAGAACCTTTCTTCCCCATCGGTTATCGGTTCTTCGAGCTATATGGCCGGCCCATTGCCACTTCAGCTTACTAATCCGTTGGGCTATGTCGGTCAATCTGGTTTTACTGCGGATATCCTCATTTCTGAGTCTATCACGCAGAGAAACTCCGAGCATAGCCCTCTCCATAGCTCGCTGAGCGACCTTGAGCGTCCTCATACGGCCAGCAGTGAAGGACCACGTCTCTGATCCGTAAGTCATCACTGGCAACACGCACTGGTTGTACACTTTAGTTTTCAGAGATTGAGGTATACCTGACGAGAAGATATGTCGTAATTTCCCGAACGCTGCCCAGCCGAGTTGAATCCGTCGATTGACCTCTCGGTCGAAGTTGGACTTACCTAGTCGGACTATTTGTCCCAGGTAAACGTACTCGTCAACAACTTCGAGCATAGTGCTCCCAACAACTACCGGCATAGGTGTGACATGGACATTAAACATAATCTTTGTTTTGTCCATGTTCATCTTAAGACCTATCCGTTGGGAGGCACTATTGAGGTCATTGAGCATAGTGCTTAAGTCCTCCAGCGATTCTGCCATAAGGACTATATCGTCGGCAAATCGAAGGTGAGTGATGTACTCGCCATTGATGTTAATACCGTATCCTTTCCAGTCCAGTAGCTTGAAAACGTCTTCCAAAGCAGCGGTGAAGAGTTTCGGGGATATAACGTCACCCTGTCTTACACCTCTCTGCAGTTGGATAGGTTTCGAGCTCTGGTTCTGTACTCGGATAGCCATCGTAGCCCTACTGTACAAACACTTCAGCACTTCAATATACCGACAGTCAACTTGGCACCGCTGAAGGGACTGCAGCACCGCCCAAATTTCGACGGAATCAAAGGCTTTCTCATAGTCCACATACGCCAGGCAAAGTGGCAAATTGTACTCTTCAGTCTTCTGTACAATCTGCCGCAGGGTATGTATGTGGTCTATGGTACTGAAGCCTTTTCGGAAACCGGCTTGTTCGGGAGGCTGGAAGTCGTCGAGTCTGCGTGCGAGACGATTCGTAATGACTCTCGAAAACAGCACGTAGACGCGGCTCAGAAGGGAAATCGGTCTGTAGTTCTTCAAGAGAGCGTTGTCGCCTTTCTTAAAGAACAAGACCACCGCACTTCTGCTCCACGCCTCTGGAGTAGTGCCACCATGGAGGACGGAATTGAAGAGCTTCTGAAGGACTTCAAGTACCGGTGTTCCACCCGCTTTCAGAAGCTCCGCTGTAATTCCATCCTCGCCTGGGGCCCTGCCGTTTTTAAGGTGCTGGAGAGCCATTCTAATCTCGCTTAGACTGACGTCCGGGATATCATCGGAATAGTGTCGGATAAGACTTGCTCTTGGATCGTTACTCACACTTGCGTGTGGCTCCAACGATGATGTGTACAGCTGCCCATAGAACCTCTCAATCTCACTCAAAATCTCAGGTGTCCCGGAAACGATGCTGCCACACTCAGTCTTCAGCCTTGACAGTTGGCTCTTTCTGGCAGATAGATCTCTGGCAAAGACTTTGGAGCCCTGGTTCCGCTCGATCGCTTCTTTAATACGAGCAGTATTAAAGTTGCGTAAGTCTCGCCGCATGCATTTGGAGATCTGTCTGTTCAGTTGCCTGTATGCTGTCAAATCTGTTGACGATTGCAGCCTCATCTCCCGTCTAACAGCCATGAGATTAAGAGTGTGATCGGAGAGTTTTTGTGTTCTTCTGCGGCGGGTCTTGCAGAACTTAGCTCCGACCGCATGGACAGTTTCCACGAGCTTGTCATTCATATCGTCCACTGCATTGCAATCTTGTAGGCACTGAAAGCGGTTGTGTAACTCGAGCTGAAAGTTTTCGGGATTTTGGATCAGAGCACGAGGGGGGACGGAGCGTTGACTTCATTAGACGAGACCTCTCCAACTTAACGTTTAGGTTCAGTGTGCCTCTAACCATTCGGTGATCGCTGCCAGTTTTCACCCTTGCGATCACTGAGACATCACTGAACAGTTGGCGTCTGGTCGTCATAATGAAGTCAATCTCATTTTTTGTCGAACCGTCGGGGCTCGACCAGGTCCACTTCCTGTGGGGCCGCTTCTGGAAGAAAGAGTTCATCATAAAGAGTCCCTCTTTCTCCATAAAGTCGGCCAGCTGCTGGCCCCCTTCGGTTCCGTTGCCCTACTCCAAATTTCCCTAACTTCAGCTCACCGCTTTCTCTTGTGCCTAGTTTTGCGTTGAAGTCTCCCATCAACACCGTGTAGTGGGTTTTGGAGGAATGTATGGCTTTGGAAATATCCTCATACATTTCCTCCACCTCCTCATCGGAATGTGCCGACGTTGGTGCGTAAACCTGTATGACCTTCAGCGAATACCGTTTGGTGATTCTGAGTATCAGGTACGCGACCCTCGTCGACACACTCTCAATCTGTACAACGTTGTTGACGAGAGACTTGTGGACGATAAATCCGACACCTCCTTGGGACAGATGGTCGCCCTCCCGGTGATAGAACAAGTTGCCGGATTCGAGAATCACCGTGTCCTCCCCCTCTCTTCGGACCTCGGATAATCCTATAATACTCCAGCGCAACTTGTCTATCTCTTCTTCCAGCTCCAGGATCTTCTCGTCAGTCCTCAGTGTGCGTGCGTTAAATGTTGCCAGGTCGAGTCGTCGTAGGTGGCAACCGAACCTCCACCGGAGATTCTTAGCACCCCCTGCCCCGCCGTTACCATGGTCGCCACCGTAGCCAGGAATAGCGGGGCCGCCGGGGACTGGGGGCCGTCTATTTGTGTAATTGTTCATGGGGGGTATATTGCCATAGTTGCCACGCTTGGCGAGCGGGTTGGCAACCGCAGTTTTGTTTTTTGTCGTACAGTTGCTGTTATCAGGAAGATGCTGCTGCCCATCTCCTGCCTGTCTCCCTCTGTCGCCTCTTACGACACCCACGGGAAGATATGGGGTAGTGGATATTCTTAACCGCCACTACACGGCACTGTATTTACTTACCTTCAGGTAAACTATAAAGTCATGTGAAGTAGAAGTGTAAAGAAGTGTACTGTTCAGCGGCAACGTAAGATAATCTACTCCCTGATATACCGTGGGTATTATAAGAGGAAACAGAGGGAAATGAAAAAAGAATAATAGTAAAAAAACTGCATTTGCCACCCCACCTGCTAAGTGTGGCAACTATAACTTTACTTTACTATTTTTCTTCACTATTTATCTGAGAAGATGCATAAATTGTTGGCACCGTAGGAAGAAATGGTGTAAGAAGTATGATTGATGAAGTGAGATTGCGGAAAAAAAGCCTGCAATGAGATAGGCTTTTATGGGCTGAATAAGAAAAATAATCATATGAAAATTTTATGCTACATTCCGTTTTTTTGAGTCAGAAGAATCTGAGAAAAATAAATAGATTATCTGACGTCTAAAAACGATAAAATTGTTATTTTGTATAAAATTAAGTAAAATCTTAATTTGTCCCACAGCTAAGAACCTACTTTCATTTCATAGTATTGCAGCTGAAAAAACCGTAGCTTTACTGGAATGCTTTATGGCTTTCTTAAACTGCTGCTTGATATAGGCTTTTTCAAAAATACGAACTTCTTAAAATTGCAAGCCAAGCATACTAATGCAAGATTTTAAAATATTTTTAGCTCTTATTGCAAAGATCCAAACACAAATACAAAAACAAAAATCTTGACTTCTGATTTTTAAAATAATAATGTTTGAAGTAATATAAGTAATTGTCAAGCTTCATCACTCACATCCGGCAAAAACACTTCAGATACCAGCACAATCGGCACCATTTCTGAACCAGCCATATGCGTGATGCTGAACAGGTATATAAAGACACCGTTGATCCAGCGTGGGCCCCAATTTAGAGAGATCTGACTGCCCAGTATCACGCAACTAACGCCCGCACCAACGGAGGAGTAGATTATGAGTGCCTGGAAGATTTTTTGAATTGAACAAGATGAAGATTTGTAAAAGGTTAGGAGTATGTTGCTCTGTATCAATTTCATAGTTCGGCAAATACTTTAGCAATTTTAGTGCTGATTCACCATGTGCTCAGCGGTAAAGAAAAACGTTTTTAGAAAATCTGTATTTCTAAATGAACATAGATATTTTGAGGAATAAATTCCGCCAACGCAGATCGGGGCATCGCAGCGCACACTTTATGGCCTTAAAACCTTCTCAAAAAGAAGAAATTCAAAATTTTTACCCATTTTGGTAGGGTTGACACTGGAGGATAATATTAAATACAAACAGGTTAATTAGACTTCATCAAAAGCGAAGTTTCTAAATTCTACCGTATTTTTAACTTCCCGCTATGAAAATCATTTTTTTTTAAATGTGGAATTTATTGTTTTACCCCGATTTTTGAAAATTGAGTTCTCATCAGATCTCAACGTTTCGAGGTCTCAGGAAACTATTTTGGCTATATTTGCGATGATGTTTGTAAGTATGTATGTACGTGTGTGTGTATGTGTGTGTGTGTGTGTGTGTGTGTGTGTGTGTGTATGTGTGTGTGTGTGTGTGTGTGTGTGTGTGTGTGTGTGTGTGTGTGTGTGTGTGTGTGTATGTGTAAACATGTAAACATTTCATAACTTTGTAACGGAGAGTTCGATCGAAGAGCAGTTTTCGGCATCTAAAAAAGGCCTTGCTGAACTTAGATTTTCTGTGACCGAATCCTCACGGTTGGTTCTGAGAAAACCTAAAAAATTCGAGTATTTTTAGTTTTCAAACAGTAGCTTTCTTGGAATAACTTCGACATCCTGGTTTTGATCAATTTCTTCAACTCAAAAAACGACGTCGATTGCCGAGAACTGCATCACAACGGTTTGATTATTTCAAAAGATATTGTTGACGAAAGAAATCTCGAAAAAGTGTTTTTTCAAAATAACTTGAAAACTTTCCGTGAAATTAATTTTTCCTAAGAAGCATTTTGTTAAGCTGAAAAAATTGCCTTTGTTGCTGTAAATCAAACCAAAATTGGTTTATTTTAGGAAGAAAAAAGTAAATAGGCCTGGTTTTCTAAAACCACGACGTCATAATAAGTGGAATTTTATTTGAAGCGTTGGCCAGTCAACTAATTTTTTTATGTGAGGTAAACCTCAGAACTTTTTTTTGGAGGTGAACCAATTTTGATGACTCTTTTTTATGAAAGCTGGTGCTTCTCATGTGGTTCTATACAAATTTGATACAGACTTGAATAGTAGTTTTTGAGTTATGCCCAATAATGCGTATTTTATTAACTGATGATGATGTTCTCAGTTTATTTATACTGAAATCGATTGTACATTAATTTTACCACTTGTTATTGTGCACTATTTTTTTTACAAACTACTTACCGCCGGTTTTATGCCGGCTGTACGTGACGAGCCGCCAATTCTCATGCACACATGCGCCTCAAGTTTGTAGTAGTGTATCTATCACGTAACGATTGTATGAAGCTTTGTTTTTGTTCGGTTTATTTACTCATGTGACCAAAGTAAACGTAACAATACCACCTTGTGGGTGGTATGACTACTATTCTCCCTAGGAGTATTCTGCGTGAATATCTCCCTTTTACTCCTTTTTAATACCAATTTGCAGTTCTTGCACTGATGTGTACTGCATAATTAAAAGCTGTAAGACAGTAATCCATCTAAGTCCTCAGAGGTAACAATTTTTCTGTTTTTTCTTTTAAATCGGCTGCAAGTGTACATCACATGTAAAAGCTGCCTACCATCGTATAGACTGTGAGTTCATTTGTCAATTCAGATTAATATAAAAAAGTAAAATAGCAACATAATGATGATGTTGTAACGCTTCCCCCCTCTATATAAAAATATATTAGATATAAATAATTTACCCCTTTTCGATAAAAATTATATATATGTGACCAAGATAAATAAGATATGTTTTGATCTTTCTAAATGATCTTTCTAAAGGTTTAATAATAGGCCGTTTGTAATATTTTGGCGTGATCGTCTTAGTTAGGACCCTTATTTACGTTGTGTTTGTTTAGTAACTTAGTTCTTTTAGGTGTCTTCTGGAAGAATGAATATTCACTAGAGCAATTGAAAGCTGTTGATAGTGCCTTATAAGCTAAGTGAACCCCGTTCACGAAGACAGGGCTCGAGAAAGGTTAAGAACATAAAACGTCCCTATTCCACTTGTATCAGGTTTACATTATTAATATTCCCTTCCCGCTCGAAAAAGGCTCAAAATATATTTATACAAAATACCCGATATAAGGGCTTCGCTCTCCTACATTTATTTAAAAAAATGTAGGGGAGGCACACGGCTCCACACACGCCGTGCGCGGTGAGTGCCAACCATTTTGATGCCCTCCCCCCGAAGGGAACGCTAATTCGGGAACTGGAACGTAGTCCACAGCAAAATAAATGACGAACCAGTAAAAGAGGCTTGGCCCCTTGTTAGTGCGTAAGCACAAACATCCACCGAAGTCGCGCATGTCAATGCGTGTAAACGCCATACAGAATACGAACGAATCCAGCCACAGTGAATGTACGTCACACGGTTTAGGCAAATAGGCACACTGGCCGTAAACCCTGCGTGAGCGCCACCACCTGCCAGACCGCCGCTCCTGCAGACGTGATGTAAGTGTATGGCATCACCGCCAATTGCATGATCAGCACGGCTACTAGCACGCAGAGCGTGTCATGAGTCTACGTTGTGCGGCTTTCGGCCGCAGCCTTGAGAGTCTCCTTAGATCCTCCCGCCAGCTACCACCCGCATGAGGTCGACACATAAGCTCCACCAACCAATACAACGGCAGATATAGCCAAAAGATAAGAGTAATAATTCGCCATCAGAAAGGGTTTGTGTCACTAACGTTGAGTAAATGCATTTTCGATCATGTTTGTCTCGCCCACCAACAAGTCCCTTCAATCATTCAAAGGTGGGAAAGTTACAGAGATATATTATTATGTTGTTATATAAAACATCATGGAGGGCAGACAGTCTGCAGCCCCGTAATGAAGGGACCCGACTTGGGCAAAGCTACTTAGGTGTGAGTCAAACCAAGACGCAGAGAGCGCCATTGAGAATAGCGTCCCACCAAACAACCATCGCAGAGACGCAATGCTGCAGAACGCAACAAGCATCAATACGACTATCGTCGGCTTACACCATATACAACATACCTCCATCGACCAGAACCACAAGAGTGCGTCGAATCAGGCGCAGCACACCCGCAGATCCATCACAAGACGCAATACCGCAAGTAGCAGTAAGCATCAATGCAACTATCATACGGATGGCGCCCCCCTCACAACACACCCACATGATCCCTATCGATTTTGGTAACAAAGTTTTTATTGTTGTTATATAAAAAATTACACTAACGTATCATAGTAGCACGCTACTAAGACGCCAATGAACAAAACTCAACGTATCATAGCGCTAATGCACTAAGACATGAAGTTGAGTATGCCTGTTACACGTAAAAGTGCTACCAAACACACTCATCATCCCAATCCGAAAGATAGACGACGCATCGCTATGCGCTACGACGTCGCCCACAAACGGTATGGGTGTGCGATGTCCACGGGAAAGCCGTATTGCTACAACAAACCTGCTTACCACCAGCACTAAGATGATATGTCTAGGACACATCGGTTAGCGAGTCCAAGTTTACCTCGGACCAATTGCTCGTGAAGCAGCATACACGCCACCATAATATTCCTTTTCAAGTCCCTAATAAGGACTAGTTATTTTGCTAGAGTACTAGGAGCAGTCGGTCACCCGACCGCTCCATACAATATGCTTATGCATCAAGGAGACCTCCTATAATATTGCTTTTGTATCATAGACCTTACTTTCATAAGTCATGCATATATAGGATTCGAACCCACGACCCTACTATTTTAATGCAAATTCATCATGGAGACTTTCTATAGTATTGCTTTTGTATCATAGACCTTACTTTCATAAGGCATTAATATATAGGGTTCGAACCCACGACACTACTATTGTAATGCATATTAATCATAGAGACCTTCTATAGTATTGCTTTTGTATCATTGAGTTTAATATCATAAGTCCCTAATATAGGACTAGTCATTGTGCTACAGTACTTCAGGCAGTCGGGCTCTCGACCACCCCATATATATGTACAACTGCAGGTATGTATCTCCGGCAGCTCCTCTATACATGAACACCTTCAATAACTTAGGAAATTTCTTTTATACATGAACTTCTTCCAAGACTTAGACAATTTTTAACAAATATTCTAATTATCTTATAAATGTTATTTATCTTTAATTTTATAATATTTTCAACTTTTATTTCTATTAATTATCTTATTTTAAATATTTTTTCAAGATTTTAAATAAATTTATTTATTATGAAAGACAATATTTTGCCTATAATTTACTATCCTATTGGTCTAATGTCTGATATATATTTGTATTAACTTTATGTTTATTAATGTGATTTTATTGCATAATATATATATATATATATATATATTAAAACTATTTTTGATGCCCCTTTATATTGAATTTAATTATTAATAATAATATTAATAATATTGGGCCGTCACAATGTGTCTGATATTCATATAAGTGTCAAACGGCACTTGCATACACTCACCATTAAGTGAACTATGAGCTTGTTCGTCGTCTTTACTTTTATAAGAAAGAAAATGAAGGCGCTTACCCGTCTGCCCACCACATCGACCAAATATGCACCAACGCAATTTGACAGAACTGAAATAATTGCCAGCAGAACACTAGACAACGTTGCAGATATATTGGGTATAGCCTCTTCGAAGAGTGGCTTAGCATATACTTGCACGACCACAGTACCTTGGAAAATAACTGCGGTGTATATTATTAATACAACTAATAGTGCTCGACGAGTAGAACGGGATTTTTCTGAAAATGAAATGTTTTCTATTACTTGAAACATGCTTTTATCCAAATTCAAGATAGCACGAGATTTTCATTTTCACATTAAAATATTTAGTTGCCATGTTAGTACATTCGCTAAGTTCATCAAGTTCAAGGGTTAAATATTGTATGTTACTATTGGTGTTTACGTTATTTTAAGATTAGAAGAAATTCTTTGTTATATAATAAGACGTTAGAAAAATATCTAATAAGACTGCCTTTAAAAGATTAGTACATAAGCACTTTATTTACACTGTATAAGATGATAGCATGGTCAATTTGGTTATATTTTTTGTTATTTTATTTATATTTTTAGTTTATTTTTTATGCTTATATCTATCAGGTTTATATCTATTAATATTTAAAATGTATATATATTGATGTATGTATGTGTTTGTATGTAAATATATATTAAGTGACGGTATTAATTTTATAGGATATAAGTTTATTAGTCTATTATTACTATTATTAAGTTTATTAGTAGTATATTTCCTGATTTACTCTATTTTTCATTTTATTTTTGTCACCTATCACTATTTATTAATTATTTCTTATCATTTTCACCTGTAATATTCGAAATCAGCTAACATTTTAATCTATTCCGTGAAAGTGCAATTATTAATCTATAATCTGTGTTATTTATTTTCATTCTTATAATCTTAGCAACTTTTAACTTTTAACCTGAACTCTACGTCTGCTCAGATGGTAATACCACGAGTTGTCTTTGAAATCTTTCCTCTATATAACTATTTCGCTGTAAGGCACCAGACAAATTAATAACTGGTTAATAACTAGTGACGCACCCTCGCTTGACCTTGGTAGGATCTATTGGTGTGGCGTCATTGAATTTAATAATCATATTATATCAATATCTTCAAGATTTTCGGATAAAATATAACATGGATCACTCCAAGTATTGCTCTCTCCCTGTTCGTCAAGTCTAATTATAATTGGTTCATAAATTTCAAAGATTAGCCCGAACAGACAGTCTTATTAACATGCAAGTAATACTGTCAGCTAAATAAAATGCAATTATTTCGATATTACAGACATACACTTCTATTAATTATATTAATATCTTGTCGTGGGTGTCGTAAGCTGTGATAGATTAAAACTGAAATAGTAGATGAGCAGCTGTATCTTTCCGATAGAACCTCAATATTATGAAAAATTGCGGTTGACCACCCGGTTGTCAAGCATGGCAAACCGTGGTAGGATTCCCTCTATGGGGCAATCTGTGAGGGAAGTGGATTTTTCGGACTTTTAATGAATGTAATGGATGGATAACGGGTGACTAAATTGTATTTTTTTGAGAACAAGAGTGACAAACGGGCTCACAATCAACCGTGAGTCGATGACATGGCTCAAAGACATCTATATCCATCCTCTTAAACGCCAAGCGTCCAAATTTGACCGCTTCGATATTCCATCAAAGTTCAAGAGGTCAAATTTGACCGCACCCATCCACAGAACTTTAACCCGTAAATACTTATGTTTAGAAACTACTTTTCTATGAAGAAGTTTGGCATTGTAAAATTAAAATGAAATTTTCTATCCTCTAGTGGAAGAAATTTTGGGTAGTCGATGCATATTTATTTATAATCTACGTTCATTTCGTACGCCATTTTCGTGTGAATGTTATTATGTCGATTTTTGAATTTCTAGTGTTTTATTATAAAATGTATAGTTTTTTATTATAAAATGGTAGTTAAAGTTTTGGTGTGAATATAATTTATCTTTTTGGGTAAATAATTTCGAGTAAAATATACTGAAATAATGGTGATATTTACGTTGCCGACATCCGCTTGGTATGTTTTTTGTTATCAAAATAAGTAAAGTTGTAATTATTATATTGTACAACATTTTGTGTGCCGTACATCAGCCGTGTAGTGGCGGTTAAGAATATCCACTACCCCATATCTTCCCGTGTGTGTCGTAAAAAGCGACAGAGGGAAACAGGCAGGAGATGGGCAGCAGCATCTTCCTGATAATAGCAATTGTACGACAAAAAAAAACTGCGGTTGATACCCCTACACTCACACTGAACCTAAACGTTAAGTTGGAGAGGTCTCGTCTAATGAAGTCAACGCTCCGTCCCCCCTCGTGCTCTAATCCAGAATCCCGAAAACTTTCAGCTCGAGTTACGTAACCACTTTCAGTGCCTACAGGAATGCAATGCAGTGGACGATATGAATGACAAGCTCGTGAAAACTGTCCATGCGGTCGGAGCTAGGTTCTGCAAGACCCGCCGCAGAAGAACACAAAAACTCTCCGATCACACTCTTAATCTCATGGCTGTTAGACGGGAGATGAGGCTGCAATCGTCAACAGATTTGACAGCATACAGGCAACTGAACAGACAGATCTCCAAATGCATGCGGCGAGACTTACGCAACTTTAATACTGCTCGTATTAAAGAAGCGATCGAGCGGAACTAGGGCTCCAAAGTCTTTGCCAGAGATCTGTCTGCCAGTAAGAGCCAACTGTCAAAGCTGAAGACTGAGTGTGGCAGCATCGTTTCCGGGACACCTGAAATTTTGAGTGAGATTGAGAGGTTCTATGGGCAGCTGTATACATCATCGTTGGAGCCACACGCAAGTGTGAGTAACGATACAAGAGCAAGTCTTATCCCACACTATTCCGATGATATCCCGGACGTCAGTCTAAGCGAGATTAGAATGGCTCTCCAGCACCTTAAAAACGGCAGGGCCCCAGGCGAGGATGAAATTACAGCGGAGCTTCTGAAAGCGGGTGGAACACTGGTACTTGAAGTCCTTCAAAGCTCTTCAATTCCGTCCTCCATGGTGGCACTACTCCAGAGGCGTGGAGCAGAAGTGCGGTGGTCTTGTTCTTTAAGAAAGGCGACAACGCTCTCTTGAAGAACTACAGACCGATTTCCCTTCTGAGCCGCGTCTACGTGTTGTTTTCGAGAGTCATTACGAATCGTCTCGCACGCAGACTCGACGACTTCCAGCCTCCCGAACAAGCCAGTTTCCGAAAAGGCTTCAGTACCACAGACCACATACATACCCTGCGGCAGATTGTACAGAAGACTGAAGAGTACAATCTGCCACTTTGCCTGGCGTATGTGGACTATGAGAAAGCCTTTGATTCCGTCGAAATTTGGGCGGTGCTGCAGTCCCTTCAGCGGTGCCAAGTTGACTGTCGGTATATCGAAGTGCTGAAGTGTTTGTACAGTAGGGCTACGATGGCTATCCGAGTACAGAACCAGAGCTCGAAACCTATCCAACTGCAGAGAGGTGTAAGACAGGGTGACGTTATATCCCCGAAACTCTTGACCGCTGCAGTGGAAGACGTTTTCAAGTTACTGGACTGGAAAGGACACGGTATTAACATCAATGGCAAGTACATTACTCACCTTCGATTTGCCGAAGATATAGTCCTTATGGCAGAATCGCTGGAGGACTTAAGCACTATGCTCAATGAACTCAATAGTGCCTCCCAAAGGATAGGTCTTAAGATGAACATGGACAAAACAAAGATTATGTTTAATGTCCATGTCACACCTATGCCGGTAGTTGTTGGGAGCACTATGCTCCAAGTTGTTGACGAGTACGTTGACCTGGGACAAATAGTCCGACTAGGTAAGTCCAACTTCGACCGAGAGGTCAATCGACGGATTCAACTCGGCTGGGCAGCGTTCAGGAAATTACGACATATCTTCTCGTCAGGTATACCTCAATCTCTAAAAACTAGATTGTACAACCAGTGCGTGTAGCCAGTGATGACTTACGGATCTGAGACGTGGTACTTCACTGCTGGCCATATGAGGATGCTCAAGGTCGCTCAGCAAGCTAAGGAGAGGGCTATGCTCGGAGTTTCTCTGCGTGATAGACTCAGAAATGAGGATATCTGCAGTAAAACCTGAGTGACCGACATAGCCCAACGGATTAATAAGCTGAAGTGGCAATGGGCCGGCCATATAGCTCGAAGAACCGATAACCGATGGGGAAGAAAGGTTCTCGAGTGGCAGCCTCGTACCGGTAGGCGTAGGGTAGGGCGACCCCCCACTAGATGGAGTGACGACTTGGTAAGATATGCAGGAAGTCGATGGATGCAGGTGGCTCAGAACCGTGCTTTGTGGCATTACTTGGGGGAGGCCTATGTTCAGCAGTGGACTTGTGAAGGGCTGTAATGATGATGATGATGATGACAACATTTTGTGATTGACTCTGAATGAATATTAAATATAATAAGCTAGTAAAAATGGCCTGCTGGAGAAAATGACCAGCTCCAAACGTTACTACAACATAGAGTATCTTAAGAAATCCTTAGCGCTAGCAGTAGTTGAATTTCCTTATGGCTTCCTATGACAAAATAACATCCTACGATCGCTAATCCACTGACCATGGGTAACAAATCTATGTCCATCCATAGAGCGTTCATAATAATTGCAATTACTAATTTAATTAAACAAAATTTAAATCATCATCGTCATATAAAAATAATTCAAAAATTAAACTTACTAAAGAATGCCCATTTGCAATTTTTATTCAGCGACTGCGAATTTCGGTTTAATTTCTCTTCATTCAGAGTCATACCTGTAAATCAAAAATTGTTCATCATTCTCAATAGATTACTTAGTGAATTTGTTGTAATGACCACAGGGTCTATAGAATCTTAAAGCTAAAGAGCTTTAACATTTTTCTGAAATAGACTAGCATAAGAGGAACTTTGTGTAATTGTATAGAATCCACCCGTCAGGCCAAATCCTACCAGAGGTCGACTTTTATTATAGCTGATTATACTGTCATTTTTCTCTAAAAAGCTGATTTAGATTTATAGCTATTTTATAATAGCTTTCATTAAAAACTGTTAATGTTTATTGCCTTAACGGTCGCTATATCTCGGACTCCCTTGATATAATGGAGAATTCATAGTATGCTTTAGAATGTTTGACTGAACTTCGACTGACAAAAATACTATCCTATTTCATACAAAATGAGAAAAGATGTGTTTAAAATGTGTAAAGAATGAAAGAAAAATGTTTAAGTGGTTGAATACGTATGACTGAATTGCTAGGTTTCGTCAATATTGGATAAATCACCCAAATTATTGACAATGCTTAAACTCCTGGTAAGGCATTCAATATGAGCGAGAATAATTCAAGTTAGTATATTTAAGTGGAGCATGATAAATAATTGATGGACAGCTACAGGAACGTCGAACACTGGTGTAGCATATAGTCCTCGAGCAGTGTATATTTCCATCATTGGATGATTAAAAGTTAAGATAAAGGGTAATTGGGAACATACCTTCAGTACAAGTGATGTGAACAATTTTACTCATATAGTACTTTTGAGAACCAAATAAGTCTTAAATTTGTTACTTATAATAATAATAATACATAGAGGTCACATCCTTCATTAGCTCATAGTTTGAAATTAGTTTTCCTCCTTTAAAATGACTTAAACGTAGACACAAGCCAAGTTACATTGTTATAGTACAGTAAAAGTGTATGTATTAATAAAATGAAATGAATGTAAGGAAAATGTAATATTATACCCAAGTAGTAGTAGTAGTATATATAGTACCCGCATGACAAATATCATTAAATGAAATATAAATGAATTTTTTTAAAACTCTGATTCCTGATATCTATTTAAAAATAAAAAATATATTAGTGAATAGACTAACGACAAGAAAAAAAGCTAGCTAAAGGTCAAAATAAGAAAAAAAGTAAGTTTACAACAATATTGAAAAAAAAGCCTTAACAATCGAAAACAAAGAAAATTGGGGTTGTGGTGGTTTGAAAATAAGTTACATAAAAAGAATAAGGGGATTCCAAGCCATATCGAAGAAGTGAGATATTATGTAGTTATTTTGCATATCTGTATAGGGTGCTCTACCTACAATGCTACCCAAAATGCTGCTTACAAGCTACACATATCGTAACTAAAGGATTGATCCACACCACCACACGTTAAATAACGAATTATGATAAATACATTTTCGCGTAGATTTATACGAAAATTTATAAGATTTTTTCATATTTACAATATAACTCTACCTTAAATTTCTTTTTTTGTAATGTTTTTTTGTTTATGTAAAATTTGTACAATTTTAAACTAAATTTGGTGTATTACTTACTAAAATCTACTACCTAATTCCTTGGGGTCACGTTCGATAACTCCATGACTTTAGCGAAATACATTCGCACCGACCGCATTCGTGCCGAATTCGTCACTAGTCGCCTCCACCCGCTAGTTAACAGTTAGAGCAAACTGTCCCTAAGACACAAGCTCCACCGCTGCAAAGCTTACGTGATCATTTCCTATGCAAGCGTAGCCTTCGCATACGCGGATAATAAACAATTTTACACCCTCCTAGTTGTCCAAAATAAATTTATTCGCACCGCCGCCGGAGATCGGTGGTACCATCGGAACTCGGACCAGCACAGAGATTGTCAACTTCCGACAATCTCTGAATATTTCAAGGAAATGTCTCGGAGCTACTTTGAGAGCGCTGATACACGTCTCAACCGGCTAGTGGTAAACGCAGCAAACTACACTCCGACTCCAAACAATAAGTAAAGCTTCTGAAGTCCCCGTAACGTTTTAATCAAACCCCCAGTTCCGCTAGATCCTGACGACACCCATGAAACTCTGAGTCCTATGAAGCTATAAAAGCCAAATGGCTAACAGCATTAACATTATCAGAAATCTGTAACATACTGTAGGGGGGAGCATTACAACTTCAACGAAACGTTGCAAAAAAATCACATTCATCACTATGCAGATAACAGCACTGTTGATGGTTTTTACACCGGCCGTGCCAACCTTAATCGAGAACCGAAACAAATCTGTGTCAATTAGAGTCTTTGTTAAATACATTTAAAATTGTAACTAGAAGAAACACATATCGAGTTATTGCTTTTACTCAATTAGGTATTCAAATTCATTGACATAATGTTATAAAGTATTGTATTCTGAATCGTCTACTTCACTTTTAAAATCCGGATTCAGGGCCATCTTTATTTTGTTTATTTTCTCTAAAACCTCAATGGAATCCACCTTTTCTCGATTGTAAAAAGCGATGACATTTGCCGCATCCTAAAACAAAAATGTACAAGATAAATAAAACTAGTTTTTACGGATTTCATCACATCTATCATATAGTCCAATAGTATAATAAAATAATTTTAATCTCGAGGTAACCGAAATTATCTATGACATTCGGACGTCGAACACCCAAGTTCCCACCCGTGACCATGAATGTTGTAAAGTGCTCGTAACGTCGGGAATATGAAATAGGTTAATATACGCCATAAAATCATATACAACAGTAACTCGACACAGCACGCGTAAAATCTTCGTTTTTAAAGACTTATTGACTGTTTCACATGTATTTTTACGACAGGACTTTGTACGGAGATCTTTGCAACCACCTTATACCGGCCCGTAATAGAGCGCGGTGAAAAATTTTTCAAAATTGACATTGCTGGTAGGATAGTCAACGTCTCTATCGACAGGCTAAAACCGGCCTATATCCTGACGGATGAACCATGTAGTTCCGGTGCGTCGTCGACTATGCCTATGACGCATGTGGCTGACGCTACTCTTGATGGTATAAGAGCACTTCGAACTCCTGTAGTGTATGCATATATATATGTAGGATAGAATAAGAGAGAGTTAGTAATAAACCTACATTCAAGACCAGTAGACGTATTATTTATTCCCCGAACCTCCCGACATTACATGGCGACCCTGCCAGGCGGTGCGCTGCTACAATGCAAGGGCACCGCCGGGACCTGCATTAGAAAAAAAGTAATTTATTGAAGAACATAAATACATAAAAATAAATATATGAAAATAATATTATAATAAAATGAACATAATACCGGACGTGACAAATAATATTTTAAATACGAATATAAAAAGAGACTACAATTTTTTTTGAGAAATCGAAGTCGATTATACACTTAAAGAAAAAATGTTATAGAAAAAAACGGCCAAGAGCGTGTCGGGCCACGCTCAGTGTAGGGCTCCGTAGTTTCCCGTCCGTCACATTAAGTGTTCCCACTTATGAGATTAAAGGTGGGTATCCATTATGTTCGCGCTCCAGCAGCGCTCCACGCTCTTGCAACTGCTCCCGGTAGTATTGTTTCCGGGTACTGTTGTTTCCATCCAAGTTCAAAATAATTTTCCTAGAAAGTCCTTATAAAGTTCTACTTTTTAGATTTTTTTCATATTTTCTAAACTTATGGTTAAAAAGTTAGAGGGGGGGGGGGACACATTGTTTTTTAATTTTGGAGTGATTATTTCCGAAATTATTGACATTATCAAAAAATGATTTTAGTAAACCCCTATTCATTTTTAAAAACCTTTCCAACAATATATCACACGTTAGGGTTGAAATTAAAAAAAAAATCACTTCCCACTTTACAAATAGGGGGCTACCCTAATAAAACATTTTTTTCCAATTTTTATTTTACCACTTTGTCGGCGTGATTGATACACATATTGGTACCAAATTTCAGAGATTAAGTGAGGACGGACAGACGGACAGACAGACATGGCGAAACTATAAGGGTTCCTAGTTGACTACGGAACCCTATAAATGAAGAAAATTATACAAGAAGCTCCAGTAACATTGTTTTAACAGCATAATCAATATTGACAAGTTCCAAGAAAGAAGATTCCAAGAACAGAAAACTTCTTAATCGAAATTCCTTCAAGAGAAGAATAAAGAACTTAAGAAAAAAGAAGCGTACGAGGAATTCCAGGCCCAACCACATCGGGGGAGCTAACAAAATCTTCGAGTACCAGAGCAGCAGAAAGAAGTCCGGGGTACAACGAGCGACTAGCCAAGTTCTGTAGCAGGTACAAGACGTCTCGAAAGCACCGAATGTAAGTTTAATTATATAATAATAGTGTCGATTCTATTGTCAAATTATATTATTACTTACATAATGTTATACACAGAACTGGGGAAAGAAAATTTTTAAATCATTCATTAATAAGTAGGAAAAATATTAGTACTACTAATAGAAAAATTCAAAATTATGTATTATACCACAACAATTAATCGGTAAATAACTACTTAATAATGATAATAATAATATTTGTTTTTTGCAACAATATGGTTAAACAATGGTGTTTAAGTATAATTTAGTTCTACATATTCTACCATAGTAATGTGTATATTTTAATGGACAAGTAACAATAACAATATTTATCGAAATTTTAACAACATATAAATTATTCAATATTTTTTTAATTGATATGGTAACTGTCTAATTAATTGTGAAACAGCGTCAGAGGAAATATTAACTTTAGATTATTATTATTGCTCAATGTCATATACTTGGTATAATCATTAATTTGTCAATCATTATGTATTATAAGTTATAAATGTTACATCCAATTATCATTATTTTTTTTCTGTTTTTATTTCAAATTTATTAATTCACTATTCCATTCATAACGAACTAATGCAAATAAGACAAAATAGTAGTTCCCTAGATAATTATGGCAATAAAATCGAACAATTATTCCTAGATTTGACGATTTCCTAAGCCGATGGTGACCAAAACGCGCATAAAAAATTTACGTCCTATAAATGAAAAGATCGCTATTAAAAGTTTCACAAATGGCTTGCGAAATCGATAACTCAGTATTATTTTGTCAGCACGTAATTATAGTACGTTAAAAGAAACAATTAGAGCTGCAAAAGATGAGGAGAGATATTGAAATTAACCCTAATAACGATAATAATGAAAATAATCTAGAATTTTTTCGGGACGGGGTATATTTAGTTGCGAATATAGTAATTGTGTTGAGTTAGCAATAGATGGTATCAAATGTAGATGTAAATGTAGATGTCGTAGATACCGGCGCTTCCGTATGTGCGATTAAATATGACACGATTAGTAAACTAAACATTTCATTACAAAAGAAACCGATTACAATAAACGGAATTGGATGCAAATTACGAACCGTGGGATTTGTTGATTTAACATTGTCTGTTGACGAGCAGAAATAATAAGTTTCATGTTATAAAGCAGTTGCCGTGTGAAACTTATGGAATTTTAGGTATAAATTTTTTACGTAAGTTTAATTGTAGCATATATTTTGAATTGAATAATATTACACTGCATAATATAAATGAATTAGTAACTTTACCATTACATATGGGTATTTTGGGAAATAATAATTATTTGAGTATACCTCCGAGATACGAGAATTTATTTTATATCAATGCGAGTATGAAAGAAAGAAATTTTCAAAAATGGGAATACGAATGATTGAGTGATTAAGTTTCGTCAATATTGGACTGATCACCCAAATATTTGATGATGCTTAAACTAGTAGTATTGAATCCGTTAAGAGTGAGAATTATGAAAGCATAAAAGGAATAAATATAAAAGAAAATAATTGACCTTAATAAATAGGTAATGGAGAGATACGGGAACGTCCATGACTGGTATAACATATATTCCTCGAGCAGGGTATGTTTCCGTGATTGGATGATAAAATCGGGCGTAATGGGTACTAGGGAACAGTACCTTCAGTACAAGTGATGTACACGAGTTTACACATATCAGTACTGTTAGGGACCATAGAAGTATTAAATTTGTTACCTTTAATAATGGTACATGGAGCTCATATCCTTCATTGGATCACAGTGTGAACTTAATTTTCCTTCGTGACAATTGTTGGAGTCCTTTTAAAATGACTTACGTAGACCTCAAGGTTGTGCGCACAACCCAAGGTACATTTATTTTTACCTTGATATAGAAAAAAAAGTTTATGTACCAATAAAATGAAATGAATGTTACGAAAATGTAATATAATACCCAAATAAATGGGGGGCCCATATTTATAAAGCACCCGCGTGATAAAAATCACGAAATAAAATATAAATGAAATGAATTAATACTCCGATTCCCGGTATTTTTTTTATCTAATAAATAAATAAATATATAAGTGAATAGAGAGAAAGAGAGCTAGCTTAAAGTCAAAAATATTAAGAAGAAAGAAAAGAAAGTAAAAGAGCAAATCAAAAAGTTTGTGGTTTCTATTTCTGTATTAGGACTATTAATGCTACCCAAAATGCGACTAAGAAGTTACACATGTAATAACTATAGGGATCGATTTACACAACTACGCGAAAATGTGTTGTATGTATGTATGTATTGTGCGCGTAATTGTTTTACAACATTTGTATATGAATTTACGAGATTTTTTTTTCATATTTAGACACATTAATTCATATTTACAATAAATCTGGTTGATTTTTTGTCATATGTTTTTTATGTAAAACTCGTACATTTTAAACTATATTTGGTTTATATTTTGCTTATAAAATAAAGTCCAGAGTCTATAGATACACTATTATTATAAATTTATTAATGTAATAGTATTCTTTTTACGTTTTTTCTTTATAAAAGACAACGGAACTAAAAATTATGTTTGAAATGAAATTGCCTTTTTCAATGTTATTAAATATTTCGTAAAACAAACTTGAGCTGTGTACCTAGTAGTGTTTTCTTTTTTTATATAAATTTCATGTCATGAAAAAATGAGTTTTCGAAATTATAATACTTTTACAAAATGAATTTAAACTTGAATGTAACAATCAATATGTATTTAAAGGTAAGTACAAACTATTGGGAAAGTTAAATTCATTTTATTTATAATATCATTTTAATGAATGGTTTAAACTAGGTACCATTATACAACGTAATCGAAAAAACATTCCCATGAACGTACTTAGAAATTAAAACTAAGGTATCACAAACCGCTTACGCGGCTGAGATTGTAAGTTGTATTTGATCCCTCTAATGATTATGATTATGTTGCACTAGGACCGCCGTGAGACAAAAGGTGTAATATTAAACGACTATCATTTTTGCCAACTAACGGTCTATATGTAATGCAAAGAAAAGATTTTTTTTGACCAGAGTTAGATACTACATACATAATTAGTAACATCCTACTAATTATTCAAATCGATGTGACAAGTGTTGCGACATAAACAATTAATAAAAATATATGTGCCAATGGTTATAACCGATTTATAGGATATTCCACTTTTCATAGAGTTTATT